TTGTTGTTTTGTTGCTCACTTTTATGATAGCAAATAACATAAATTATTTCACTATTTTTACTATGTTTATAGCAGCTTGTGGCTTGTAGAATCAACTCGGCCGTTTTCCGTTGGTTATTTTATCATTTTAATTTCTATGACTTTAATGTTGTAGAAATATTGGTTGTAAAATAGGAAAATTTATTGAGTGGGTTTGGAAACTTTTTTCTTGTCTGCTGACTTTTGGTTTCACTTTTTTGAAACTTGATTTTTTGATTGTATTTTTAAACATTTAATTCCTCAATTTTGAAATAATTTTTTGAGTTGAATTTTTTTTCTGATTTCGATGAATTTTGATAAATTTGATCAAAAATTATTTTATTTTAAACAAAATTCCTTTAATAATTGCAGCTATGTTCACGATTCACTGCACTTGCTTTTCTTCAATAATTCAGTTTCGTATAATATCTTACAGTAGTACGACAAAGAGACAATGTTCAAATAATACACAAATGCACACAATGATTGCAATGAAGCATGGCGAGTAAATCAGCTGATTTATTTGACTTGTTGTTCATTGGACTTTGAAGATTTTTGTTGACTCTTTTTTTCACGAATTCTGTCAAATTTTTGTAATTTATTGTAACTTAACTTTTTTTACAATTTTCTTTAACTTTTTTTCCACTGCTAAAGTCTTAAAATCCACTTTTTATGAAACTTTCTGTTTTTATATCCTTAAAATCTATTTATCTTCGAACAAAATCCTTTAAAAATCTCTTTTAAGACCCTTTATTCTATGCTGCACAAAACCTTTTTTTTTCATCTTCTCTGTCACTTCTTTATATTGTCATATACTTCACTTAATTCTTTTCTCTTTTTTTATTTACTTTAATTTGCCACTTCACCTTCGTCTTTTTTCACTTCCAAATGTTCTCTTGCTGATTTTTTATGGCACGATCATTAAACTTTTTTTTTATTGCAAAATGTTTTTACACTTTTTCTAGCTGAGTTCTGGAATTTTTTTTTAAATACAACTTTTATTCAAATTTTGTATGAATTTTTTAAAATTCCTTTTTCACAAGATTTGTAGTAAATTTGATGAGATTTGAGGTGAATTTGGTGAATATTGTGGTGAATTTGGTGAATATTGTGGTGAATTTGTTAAGATTCGTGGTGAATTATCAAATTCTATAAATCTTGCAGATCCTTTACAAATATTTAATCCAAGAACAATGCAAACAACCACAAAAATTCCTTTGTTTTGTTATTTTTCTTAAACGCAAATTAATTTCAAGCACTTGGAACCTTTTCTTGTTGATAATTTATTGCCTGTCCTGGCGTTTCTTAACGATTATTCTCAACACAAAGAGAACCGAAAATTATTCCTTCAAGGGCTTTCAAGTGTTTTTAATAGCAATGTCGACCATTCGAGCACCGCAAGGGGATGAAAATTAAATCAACGAGACCCTTTTTTTTCAATTTTTAGTATTGTACATATGTTACTGCTATCAAATCGCACATATATTTGTATATAAATTTAATTTAATTGTTATACAATCATACATATGTGAGGGGTACTTGTAATAGGGTCGATATTGACAGTAAAAAATTGTTTTTAATTTTTTATAAATTTATTTAAATCCCTTTTTAATGATTTTAATGAAGTGGATTTGTTTTTATATTTTTTTTTTTCGATTTTTTGGACGATAAGGAACAAAAAATGTTGATGAAAAATTAGCTTTTCTTAAATCCTTTCTGTCTTTTATTTTTTAAAGTAACTGTTTTTTGATCATCAAAACAAATTCTATCAAATAAATTTCAAGTTCTGACTCAGTTCTTTTAACTAAGATTCACATAATATCAACTAAAACTGAAGAATCTTTTCCAATTTATTGATAGCTTAATTAAGAACTGATTATTCTGTAGTATAGCACTCGTCTACGGTGTTTTGCATGATATTGTAAAATTCCAGGTCTTTTTCTTTTAATTTAATTTCAGTCAATCTTGACTTATTTAATTATTCAATTTTTCAATTAAAAAAAGTTCAATTTCTTAAAATTTTATTTTTCACTTTTGTAATCCAATTTCACATTTAAAATGCGATAGCATTTACATCATCAGGAGTTGAATCTACTTAAAGTAGAATGATCCTCACGATTTTCACGTTTATCAAATTAGAATTATCCGAATAACTTTGCCGTCGTCGCATGTGAGAAAATAAAACTGAGCGATGGCGATGTCTCAATACATCAAATACCGAACGCAAACTAAATTAAAATAAATTTTATTCCTCACAAAGAGATGTGAGAGGATTTTTTGTCTGTGCGACGTCAACAAAGAGTAAGAGAGAGTTGCAATGTGAGAGCATGTTGTGTTGAGTGAATGGAAGGTCTGTTACATGTTGGAACATTGTTGTGTGACATGCGATGAGATGCACGAATTAGAAGAGATTCCAATTGGAATTTTTATTTGGAATTAGGGAATTGTTTATTGAGAAGTGCTGGAAATGTTTTATAGCAAATGAGAATGAGAATTAAAGGATCAAAAAGTGAGAAAATGTTGCTGAACACATTTATTTTGTTCTCTTTTGTGGAACTGATTTTTTTGAATCAACTCTCAATTTTATTTTTTCTTTAGGATATGCACTCTTCTCATAGAAATAATCAAAACTTAAAACAAATGAAGTAAATAATTTAAAAAAATTTGTCACCACTTAATGAGGGTTTTATGTATATGATCCCAAATTCCAACTATGCTCAGACTCCACATATTATTTTAAAAGTATAAATAATAACTAGATTTTATTAAGAATTTGAACTTAATTATAACAAAATAGTTGACCCAACGGCCCAATATCTTACAGGTTTAAGCATATGACCGACTCGAGAGGTGCGAGGTTCGATTCCTGCTTTGGATGAACGATTTGGTTTATTTTTATTCAACAACATTTGCATGGAGAAAGCAAAAAATCTTGTTGAACTATAAATTCTCCCTGAACATAGTTTGGACAACACTGATTTAGGAGCACAAAAAAATTAAAGTATTAAAAAAAATAGCCGCTTTAAACTGCCGATGACATTGCAGTTAATTAATAACATAGTAAAACTTTACAAATTTAATGTTCAAAAAACAAAAGAGGTTCACGGTATCATTAAAATTAAATGATATTATCCATTTAAATGTCATTTTCATCATAATAGTAGTCTTAATGATATTAATAATATATTTATAACAATAACCATTGCATTTATATTGTCACGCGATCATCAAGTGAAATTTGTGAAGAAATGAAGTAAATGAGGGAAGCATGTAAAACAAAAGAGACGAGACGGAACAAAATGTTGGGTGGAATTGAAACATCTGTGGTTAGGAGCTTGAAAATATATATTTTTATTTTTTCAGGAATTTTAAATTTTTATGATCACAATTTCTTGTTAAAATTTAAAGTTAAAGAAAAGTTAGAGGTTTTTGAAAAACTTTCGGACTTAAGGATTCTTTTCATTATTTGATATAAAATTTGAATCGATTTATGATGAATGTCATTTTTATTGAAATAAGAGGAGAAAAAAAATGATTGCGTCCAATATATCTTTAGTTGTTTTGGTACTCATTTTTGATAGAAAATTTATAATGTACCAAGCAAAACTGATGTCGATGCAGCCAAAGATGCACAAATGCGATTGAATATCATTTCATTTCATATTAGAATTAAAATAATTATTTTTAAGTCCATTTAATACTACTTTTTCATCAATTTCACTTAATTATATTAAAAAGTTTAAAAATTATCTGCTTTTAATTGTTGGGTATCAATTAAAGTGAAGACATGCAGTTAAATTTGTCAAAATAACTTAAAAATAATAATTTAAGCTTTTCGTAAAAGGAAAAAAAAATCGTTCATCTGATCTGAATTTGTAAAGCAAAACGGTTTAAGCATTTGAAAATGTGGTAACGAGTAAAATCAACAACTTCTGCCATCTGTGAATCAGATTTTAAATGATTTTGGTTTGACTTTAAAAATGAGAATTTCGGTCAAATATGAAAAGATGTTCTAAGATTTTTATGATATGATTTTATGTAATTTTCATATTTTCATATTTCATATTTAAATATGAACACCAAAAAACTTTTATACATCAAATATTGAAGCATAAATCGATTATCTCAATTATGACTTGAAAGATTGATCAAGAATGATGTCACAAACTCTTTCTGTTATAAACTGTCAATAATAGAATTCATTTTTTCAAAAGTTTTGAACAGTTTAAGTTCGTTTTATTTTTAAAAAAATTACAAAGGTCCTCGTGTTATTTATCGAGATATTCGTTGTATTTCGTGAGATTCAATTTTCACAACAAAAAACTCTTGGATTCAACAGGATTTGTCATTTAACCATTTTCTTGAATTCAAAAGAATTTTTCTTTTTTTTGAGATTCAAATATTTTAACGGTAGAAAGAAATTTGAATTTCTGAACATACCCTGAACAATTTTTAAAGCGGTAAAAAGAAATTCAAATTTTTAAACGTACTCATAAATAAAAACATGATTTAAAGACTTTAAACCATTTGATGGGCCGCTAAATCGATAGTAACGGTGCTAATAAAACAAACCCGAGCTTTCTACGATGTGTGGTTAAAAAGTTTTTCTTCGCTCTAACAAGCTATATTTAAATATTTTATAAACTTTTGATGAACGATGCTTTTGTAAGTGGAGAAAGATTTTGGAGTTTGATTTTTTTGTAAACGTTGAGAAAATTTGCCAATGCGTACTATGTGCAGGAAAAAAAGAGAAATTTAAATGATTATTACGATTTGTTTGTTCATTTTGAAACAGTTTGATTTCCGTTAAAAATGTAAATTTGTCGATACTTTAAAAATTCATCGAAAAAATTAAGCTTTTACAAGGAAGTCAAGTTGACATATTAAAAACAGCTTTAAATATCAATGTTATACATGAGTCATAACAATTGTAGAATTTCACAATTTTCAAAAATGATCTATTTTAATAAAACTCAATGTTTGAATTAATTGATGCTTCATTTTAATATTTTTTCAAAATAAATTTAAAAACGAGTTAATTTACTTTTACTACTGAATATTTAATTCTACCAACTCAATATCGACTTGTTCTTCGTTCTTTCCTAACTTTTTCTTTAGGAGCTGTTTTGACTTTTGCATAAATTCTCCTTCGGAATCCATCCATTTCTCGAGCACCTTGAAACATTTGTCAGCTGAATGTTTTCCAAGTTGACTGAAAAATCCTTTTGTAAATTCCATTATTGAAGCTGAAATGATGGCATATACAATTTCCGCTAGTACTTGAGCTGACTCAATGTCACTTTCTGATGGAATCAAAACACGTTTTAATTCCTTAAGCTCTTTTTTCAGATCATCTTCTAACATTTCATCGGATGCTGCAACCAAATTTTCTGCTGCTTCAAACAGTTGCTTAGACAGCTCTGAGTCAACATTCCCTGCTAATTCTTGATCGAGATGATCGTCAGCAGTTTTAATGAAAACCTTGATCGATTCTTCTAAATTCAGTTCAGCTGACATGATTACAATTTACTGTTTGAACTATTCTTGTATGATCGAAAGTATTTCGTAATGTTCCTGTCAATTAAAAAATTAATTAATAATTTCACAATACTAAGCAATATTAAATTAAAAAAAGACTGCTAATTCATTACCTCTAATCTTTAAATCAAGCAATATACTGATATTTATTTCAATAAATCTACTTCATTGAGCGCTTTTAGATGTGTACAGAATCTACGGCGCATTTTAAAAACTTAGACACGAGGAATTCGCTAAAAATCAGATCTCAGCTAATATCTGATAGAGCCAGCGATTCAAACTCGTATGTCTTTATATATTTTTCTGTTTAATTATGCAAAATATAAATTAAATGTAATTAATCAATTAATCAAAACTCACAATTCGCACACGTCGATAGCACGAAAGTTGTTCAAAAAATGCAACTTGAGCTTAAGGGGTCGACAAATATAAAAGCTTAGGGGTTTTAACAAACATATTTGAAATTCAAATAAAAAAAACTGTTACAAGTTGGATTTGTAACAAGATGTCAGAAATTTTGAAAATATCCCAAAAAAATTAGAGAATTTTTGCAACATATTTTGAAATAAGAGATAAAAGTTCAAAGCCCCTCGTGCATAAACGTGTGAAAAAATTTCATTTAATTAATTAAATAGTTTCCAAGTTATTTTTAGTTGTTTAAATTATTTATTTAAGTACACGGTGCTGTCTGCTGCCCATTGGGAATGAAGAGACGCAAAAGGAAGCAGGATTTAAGTCCAAAAATGGACTTTGATGAAATCCCGAGTGGATCAAAACAAAATCTCAAGAAACAAAGAAAACAAGTTCCAGAAAAAAAAACTCCACGGCGGAACCTGAAGTTCCAGTAACAGCTGCAAAGGCTGAGAAGCTTTTGTTCATCCAGCAAAATATTAATGAAGTGAGAAAAATAATTTCACAAATCAATTTGCAGGTTAAGCCTGCATTTAAAATTTCATCAGCGGCAACAACACAAGTCATAATCAAAAATGTTGAGAATAAGGCCTCAATAATCAGCGTATTGCGGTCTCAATGCATCCCATTTCACACTTTCTCCGAGAAATCGGAGAAAACAAAGTCATTCGTTCTGAAAGAATGTTACGAAACACCAACGAATCAAGTACTAAGATTACTTCAAGAAGCCAAGGTTTCAGCTGTCAAAGTGACAATTCTCGTCAAGAAGCCCGACTTCACCTTTTATCTTGTGCATTTTCAAGATGAAAGTGTGAACATCAACGTGCTCAATCATAACCACCGTAACATCGACAACATCATCGTCAAGTGGGAGAACATCAAGAAGGGCAACAAAAGCCCAACGCAGTGCTTCAACTGCCAACGTTGGGGTCACTCATCTCAAAATTGTGGATATAAATTCCGATGCGTCAAGTGCTTCTACACTGTCAAGTGGGAACTTCTACACTGTCAGACTGGATAATTTGAATTCAAAAAACCGTTAAATTACCAAGCCTTTTTATTTGAAATTTTTTTTTGCAACAGACTGTTATTTATACTATAATTAATGCTTTTACTGCAATTTTTAGCAAGATACTTTCAAATGCATACGACCGTTACAAAATTTGAACTTCAGAAAACCGTTAAATGATAAACAACGAAAGAAATCTTTCTTTATTTCAAATTTGGAATTATTGTAGTTTAAGTTACATTTCTTTGAGTCTTATTTTGACACCAGCCTGAATATGGCTTTAATTCAACTATATCTTGATTAATTATTAATTTTGATGAATGAGATTTACATATATCATGAAAATGTGGCATAAAAAGTTTAAAAAAAGTTGCCGAGCGAGAAAAAAAAAGAAAAAAAAAAAGCTTTTTTTTAAGCTTATGAACTACGTTAATAAATTATGTTTGAACTGGCTTGTTCGGTGCTGGTGGGCAGCCAATGAAGCCATACTTCACCATGATTTTAAATGCAGTTCCTTGAGGTGCATCCTTTGGGATCTTTCCGACTTCGTCTACGAAACTGCAGAACTGATTTATTGCTTCTTCAATGTTGGGGATTCTCTTTAGACGTTCTTGAGCTTCTGTGAATTTCTTGAAAAGGCTTTCATTCTTTACTGCTTCGTTGAGTTTCTCTGCATAACTGATATTATTGATCAGTTGTTGCTGATTAATCTCTTCTTTAAATGTTGCTGATGAGTTACTTGCAGCATTCACTGGATGTGAATGAGCAGAAACTTGATGTCGTTTGCTTAACGATGGAAAATTGTTTTGAGTTGTGGTTTGGCTCTTGACTTTTCGATTCTTTTGGAATACGAAATGAACGATGGGCACAGTCTATAACTGGCAGCATGATCGCCATTGCAATTAATGCACTTGGCATTTCCATCACGAGTGGATCGTTGACATTGATTTGGTCCGTGAACTTCCGTGCACTTGACGCATCGGAATTTATATCCACAATTTTGAGATGAGTGACCCCAACGTTGGCAGTTGAAGCACTGCGTTGGGCTTTTGTTGCCCTTCTTGATGTTCTCCCACTTGACGATGATGTTGTCGATGTTACGGTGGTTATGATTGAGCACGTTGATGTTCACACTTTCATCTTGAAAATGCACAAGATAAAAGGTGAACTCGGGCTTCTTGACGAGAATTGTCACTTTGACAGCTGAAACCTTGGCTTCTTGAAGTAATCTTAGTACTTCATTCGTTGGTGTTTCGTAACATCCTTTCAGAACGAATGACTTTGTTTTCTCCGATTTCTCGGAGAAGGTGTGGAATTGAATAGTTTGAGACCGCAGAAGGTTTATTATTGAGGCCTTATCCTCAATAGACTTGACAATTACTTGAGTTGTATTTGATGATGAAATTTTATATGCAGGCATAACCTGCAATTTCAATAGTGAAATTAATTTTCTCACATCCTTGAGACTGCATTGCACAAATATTGGCTTGACTGAAGTTGTTGTTGTGACTGGAACCGATGATTCCTCTTTCTGAGGCGTTTGCTTCCTCTTCTTGGAATTTTCATTAGATTTGCTTGAACTTTCGTCCAAATCAATTTTTGGCGACAAATCTTGCTTTCTTTTGGCTTTCCTCATTGTCCTTGAGGAAAACACAACCCTTGGCACTTACTAAGAAGGTTTTTTCAACTAATAACGACTTGGACACTTTAATTAATTTAATAAAAATTTTTCCACGTTTTTGTGCGCGGGGCTTGAAACTTTTTTTCTAAATGATAAACAATTTATATATGAGAATGAAAAATATTAAATTGTTAAATTTACTATAATTAATGAAATTTTTTGTGTATCTTTTGGCGGGAAGCTTTCAGAAACTTACTGACCGTTATAAAATTTGAATCTCAAAAAACCGTTAAATGATAAACTTTTTATGTATGGAAATTCACTGGAACAAATTATTTAAACTATAACTAATGTTTTTGCAGTGCAACTTTTAGCGGGAAAATTTCAAATTATTTATTAACCGTTAAAAAATTTGAATTCCAAAAAACGTTTAATGATAAATCATTACAAATTATTAATTATACTATAGTTAGTGTTTTTGAAGTGCAACTTTTAGCGGGAAAATTTCAAATTATTTATTTACCGTTAAATAATAAAGCCTTTCTATATAAGCATTCATTATAAATATTTGCCAATTGATGATCTTCTAATAATCTGTAAATGAACGCAAAATAAATAGGTAATCAAATACTGATCGCTAACACAAAAATGCGCTTAAGTCCCTCGATCAATAACACGAGGACTTCTGTAATTTTTTTAAACTTTTTATGCCACATTTTCATGATATATGTAAATTTCATTCATCAAAATTAATAATTAATCAAGATATAGTTGAATTAAAGCCATATTCAAGCTGGTGTCAAAATGCTTCTAGGTCATCTGGCAGACGGAATTCCTAGGAACTTTTCTTAGGAATTCCTAGAAAGTTTTCTGCGATTTCTTAAAAAAATTCCTTAGACTTCCTATCATTATGGCCCAAACTTCCTTAGTTTTTAAAAGTAATTCCTAGTAAATCTAGGAATTCCTAATTTTTTTAGAAATTCCTAGGAGATATATTTTTTTGTAATAATTGCGATTCGCAAAAATATTTTTTGAAAAATTCCTAAGAAAATTAGGAAGTTGTAGAAATTTCTAGAAACTTCCTAGTAATATTAGGAAATACTAGAAAATCCTAGTCATTCCTAGAACCCTCGTTAGAATAATTATAAAATGTTTATGTTTACTATGATTTCCTAGTATATCATTTGATTTCCTAGGATATTACAGAAAGTTCTTGAAAGGATTTCCCCAAAATCCTAGGAAATACTAGAATTACTTATATTTTCTAGGGTTTATCAGGATTTCTTAGGATTACCTAGAATATTTCAGGCTGTACTAAAGAAATCCCAAAAATTTTGAGAAATATTAGAAAATTCAACCCAAAAACGCCGATGGCTGAACGATTTTTTTAATCATTTTTAAAAATATCTTCTAGCAAAAGCGAGTATGTTATTTGTTTTTGTCAGAATACAATTGACTATATCGCAAAAAGTTTCTATCCAAACAAATTAAGATTTAATAGAATTCTGTACTATTTAGTCCTAATTTACAGCTTCATAACACAGGTGTAAGTTTTTGGGTCTATATGACATGCAGCTGTAAATTGAGGTATGTATTGTTTAGGAAATCGCTTATCTGTACTTAAAACGTGGTGGCTAAAATTGAAGCAAAAATAGAGACTTGTACAGAACTAATTCCGATCGGCATTTTTCTCCAGACTTTTTGTAAAAGGAAATAATATAGTCAAATTTGCAAAAGTTTAATGAACAAGTACCGATAAGCGTACCTAAGCAGTACGCATTATCTTTAATTAAAGCTGCTTGTTATTCAAACTAAAGGTCAAATTTGCAGCTATAATTTAATCACTACGTATACATTCTTATTTATACGTAAGCCTAAGTATAATAAATTGTAAAATAACTGTTGTATACGTTAACCCATGATCGTTGTGTACTGCAATAATTAGGTATCGAAGTACTAAACAATTCCTACCGAGCTGCTTTAACACATATGCAATTAACAGCTGTGATTTAATATAGCTGTAAGTTAGTGCTGAATAGTATAGGTCATTCATGGCAGCATTTCAAATTTTTGAGAAGAAGTATTTTTATCGCAATTGGAAATATTTGCTTTTACAGTTTTTCGAGAAGCTGTTACAGTTTTTACTGCGTAGAAGTAAAAATTACTTAAGAATTTCTTAAGTTACCTAAGAATTTCTAGGATTTCCTAAGTAAATTCCTAGGAATTTTCTCAAAAATACTTTCGTCGTTAAGGAAAAAGTAGGAAATTTCCTAGGAATTTCTAGGAAATAATTTCGTTTTTCTAGAAATTCCTAGGAAATTAAAGGAAGTCCTAGGAGAATTTTCTACTTTTTCCTTGAAATTCCTACGTAAAGTAACAGGAATTCCAAAGAATTACTTTCTGCCAGGCTTTTAACACCCAATAAATGGTGAAGGATTTCTCGTCATGCAGACCTTGATAAAAGACCTACGATTCTTAGGAATTTCTAAAATGTATAGCAATACCTAAGAATCGCAGAAAATTAATTCTTTTAAAGTTCTTAAAAATTCCTACGATCTTTAGTAATTCCTTAAAATTCATAGTAATTTCTAAGAATTACTATAAGTTCCTAGGAATTTTCTAGGAATTTCTACAACTTCCTAATTTTCTTAGGAATTTTTCAAAAAATATTTTTGCGAATCGCAATTATTACAAAAAAAATATATCTCCTAGGAATTTCTAAAAAAATTAGGAATTCCTAGATTTACTAGGAATTACTTTTAAAAACTAAGGAAGTTTGGGCCATAATGATAGGAAGTCTAAGGAATTTTTTTAGGAAATCGCAGAAAACTTTCTAGGAATTCCTAAGAAAAGTTCCTAGGAATTCCGTCTGCCAGATGATCTTCACCCGTCAAAATAAGACTCAAAAAAATGTAACTTAAACTGCAATAATTCCAAATTTGAAATAAAGAAAGATTATTATTATGATATAAGCTTTAAAAAAATAAATTTATTTAACATTTCTAAACTACATTAAAAACAAGGGTTTTGAAGAAACAGTAACAATAAATATACTGACAGACAAATTGACAAACAAAGTATGAATTTTAATATTCCAAGGCGGGTTATCAGTTTTTGATTGATAACAAACAATTAAGTGTGTAGTACACGATTTATTCTGAGTCAATATTGAAGTTAGTTTCATTGAAATTCTAATCAAGTAAACATGCTCAAAACATAACTCCAAAAATATCGAGGCAATTCAAAGCATTATATTCATTACTGCTGAGTATCGTAAGTAATTTTTTTTTATTCTCTTAATATTTTAAGATTTGTCCGTGTTTAAAATGATTATTTAAGAATAATTATTCACATAAATTGTTTTGTTTTTATCAAAATATGTGCAATTTATCTGTGCGTGCGATTTTTTCGGCTCAACTCAATTTTTGATTTTTTTTTTATAGAAAAAATCCATTCAACGTCCATTGCAAGTTTTTAAATTGAATTTTACATGCTTTACTATGATTCTGTGTAATATTTTGTCAGCATGTAGCTAAAGTAAGCTCAAAATTTCAAGTTAGCCGATTTTATGCCGATCGGCTTAAATTTCGGCTTAACATCAGTTAACTTGAGATTCTGAGCTTCCTTTAGCTCCATGCTGACAAAATATTACACAGAATCATAGTAAAGCATGGAAAGATCAATTTAAGTACTTGCAATGGACGTTGAATGGCTTTTTTCTATAAAAAAAATCAAAAATTGAGTTAAGCCGAAAAAATCGGCTTCGATCTCTGATTTTTTTCACAAAGATAAGATAAGTTTTTGACTGAAACGCAAAGATAACATAAATATCAGCTGTCAATTTATTGATTTTTCAAAGAACCGTTTTAACAATTGTGCTTGATTAAAAATTCTAAAAATAATTTTAATGACGAAATTCACACATAGAATTTTGTTAATTTTTCTGCGTATGTTCCATCCCGCATTTTAATTTTTTTTTTGGCTTAGCTTTTTGCACATTTTTTTTTAACTTCCACGCAAAAGCGTGTAAGTTATTAGTTTCACGAAAAACACACATTTTTTTTAATACAGCCTGAAGAACTCATTTTCCAAAATCTCAAAGGGTACCAAAATGTGTGTAATAGAAGGCTGGATTTATTTGTATATAAACTTTTACAATTGGACATCATCTATGCCTTCAAAACGCCAAAAAACGTCTACGCGAATAATTTTTCAAAATAAACTTAAAATATCTGAAGGTTAAATTTTTTTCAAGTTCTCGAGGTAATATTTTAGCTTTCGTAAATGATAAAAATTCTAAAAAATATAAACGTTTTTATTTTTAATTATCCTTTTCTGACTACTTTACTTAAAATTCAGTTTGTGATGTTTGCAATGTTTCAGCTCCGCTCAGCAATGTTTCATTTCACTTCGTTCCGTTCCGCACAGCTCGTCTACTCCCCTTTCTATAGCTAAGACTCCCATCAAAAGTATCCTTTCACAGACATTGAAAGCATCTGTCAACGTGTTGAAGATGTGATCAGCATAAAAATTTTTTGAATAAAACACATATTATTTTGGAAATTTGGCAATTTTTTTGTTATCTTCTATAGTTTTTGTCTAGCTAAGAAACTTTCTTCATAAAGATCAAATCAACACAAAGATTATTTCTACATAAAGATTCTGTCTGCATAAAGATTCGATGTAGATGTCTACAATTCTACATTTTTTCTAGGTCTACATCAGAGAAGAATGTAGAATTATAGACATCTACATCGAATCTTTATGTAGACAGATTCTTTATGTAGAAATAATCTTTGTGTAGATTAGATTTTCTATCTTCATGTAGAATCGATCTTTATGAAGAAATTTCTGTCTCAGAATTTATCTGATCCAGACAAATGGCCAGAATGCAGCACTGTACGTAAGTCGTGTTTTTTTATCTTCGATGAAATTGATTGCTGCATGTCATACTAGACGGGATACTACACTAGTCTAATAATAACTTCTGTACATTTATAGTACAACAAACTACATTAAATGATAAAATTAGCATACATTTGTGTTTAATTGGATTGATTTCTTATTTTAGTCACTCTCCTAGAGCAATCTGATCAGTCAAAAGCGAAGAACTTCACACAAAGTTGAATTATCATGGAATTATCAAGTGCATCGTCATCTGCAACTTATTCAATTCAAAAACTCGCTTTTCACGACAAAGTTAAATTTTCAACAGCAACATTTAATGCAAATAAATTTGATAATTTGTGCGACTTACTCAAAATTGAAGATTTTCCATTTCCTGAAGATTTTTCGTCGAGTTCATTCAATCATGATCGGCTCAAAAATATTGTAGATGAAAGAAAGAAATTCCACGAAGCTATAAAATCAGATGATAAGGAAGAAATTGTAAGATTTTCTGAAGCCAATCCTGACTTAAAGATTGCTTATAATTTGGACAACAAGTCAGCATTATATCAAGCTTTTATCTTAAAAAAAACTAAATCTTATCTTCAACTTAAGTCGCTTTTATTTCAAACATCAGAAGACGAAAAAATTGACGATAATTTACTCCCAATAACCTTAAAGTCAAAAGAGCAAGCAACTGAGCAAAATATAAATCGTGCATTGCCTCATTCCAAATCATCTCTCCTCAAAATTATTGAGAAATCTAAAATTCACAACACTAATATTAATGAAATAACGAGAATAGAGTATCAAGCAACTTTTGAAAAATTCTACGAAGAGATTAACGATGCTAAATATGGACAGTTGCTGATCGATGTCGTTTCATCATGTGAAAAATTAAAAATATTCTTTGACTTTGAAAGTGAATCTGTGAGTAATATTCAAAAGAATTTTGTGGCTGTTGATCTCATCTATTTCCTTATTTTAGACTGAAAACTTGAATCTCAGAGACACGAAAGGAACAACTGGAAGCACATACCATGAAAAAGGAGAAATATTTATTGGTGCTAAATTGACATCAAATGGAATTGATCGTAAGGAAATCATTCGAGGATATTTGGCTCATGAGTTGTGTCATTATGCCATGCATCTGGTCTATGAGAATTCAATGAAACCATTTTATGAAAACAGCAAGCTTAAAGATGATTTTGAGGAAATTGTAAAGGAATTTAACCACAAATTGAAAGATGATGTAACAAGCGAATATGATGACGAATGTGAGAAAATTATTTCAAATATTTATAACCTTTATGAACAAAAACTGTTTGCATTAGAATTAATTGTGCGAGTGATTCAAATATATGCATTTTACAAAGACAATAAGGTGAAATTGAATTACTTAAGGGACAAAAAATACCAATCACTTTTCAAATTCTTCGAAAACCACGTTGTGCCTGATTTGAGAATTTTCTATAAAAACTGCAGTAAATATTATGACGTAAGAAAACTTAATGAAAAATCAGGGCTCTTAAAATACATCAAAAGCATTAAATTCGAGTCTGCAAATAAAAAACCAATTGTGATGATCGAAAAAAACAAAATTTTCGTGGTGACGACAAATCAACCAAAATTGTTTCTTCTTAATGCCTACAAGCACTGGCATCCTATTGGTCATACATTTTTTGACACACAAAATATTGTGATTAGTCCAAGTATCATGGATGACGATGGAAAATTTACAATTTACAAAGAAATTTTGGAAAAATATTCAAATTTGAACATCTTAATTGACTGCACGAATAAAAATGTTACCAAAATAAGAAGACTTATCTTCAATAGATCAAAACATCGCTTCCTTTTCATTGTATTGAAAAAAAATATTTCTGATGCATTTTGCTTAAATTATAAAGTTTCAAGTGTATCACTAAATGAACATGAATTTACGAAAAATGGCCAACAGTTGATGCAGCAAACAAAAGTTGATTTTAATGGAAATTTCGTTTGTTCAATTTATGACCTGCTGCAAAAAAATTTCAACATTGAAGCATCAAAAACAAACAAGCCAAATGAAGAAGTTAAGGAAATCCTTGAAGACATACCAGAAATAATTAACGACCAATTACTTTATTCATTAATGGAACGATCAGAAATTTCGATTCTTAAATCATGTGAGGAAATTGATCCCTCAAAAAATAATCATGAGCAATTTACATCAGCAGTTAAGCAGGAAAAATGCGTTCTACTGTCACAAGTAACTGATTCCAAAAAAATGTGGATGATTAAAAAAATAATAAATCAAGAGGAAAATGCAACAAGATGGACGAGTTATATTGAAACACAACAAATTATAAATAAACTGGAACCACCTGATGACGATCTTGAATTTTCATCCTTAATGACCCGAAAAGTTTTAAATCATAAAAGCAGCCTTAATGAAGAAATGTTTACAAATTTTGAAAAGAATGGCAAAATTTTATTTTTATTTGATGGATTAAGCAGTTTGGCGCCAAAAGATGCAACATTTTTGACCAAAGTAAACTACACTTGGAATGATTTACAGCAAAAGCACCAAATTGAGTTGATTAAAGCAAAAATTATGTTTCAAAATTACAGCTGCTCATTTTATGTTTTACTCAAAGAAAATTCTACTACGACAGAAAAAAAATCTATTAAGCAGAAGAAAGACAACGACATCCTTGAAGAGTTTTCTAAAATAATTGACGATCGTCTTTTATATTTCTTATTGGAACCGATAAACATTTCAATTGCTACAACACTCGAAAGTGAAATAGAGGAGGAGAATTTTGATTTCCTTTTCCAAGAAAGAGAATTAATTGGATACAAAAAGGAAAACGATCGGATTAAATATTCCTACAACAAACTCCTTCCTGCTATCGAAAATGAAAAATACGTCCTCATAGCTGACATGGCTGGTTCTGGAAAAAGTTGGATGATGAAAACTCTTGCTAATGTTCTTCGTAAGGCTTATCCAAAAAGATGGGTCACTTATGTGGATCTTAAACAGTACATTAAAGTTTTTAACAAGAAAAATAAAATTCTTGATTTTGCTTCATTCATGACTGAAAAAATACTGGAAGCAAAAGATAAATTTAAGGAGAAAATGTTTACGCAATTTTACAAAACTAACAAAATTTTTGTACTTTTCGATGGATTCGATGAAATTGCACCAAATTATGCAGAATTTGTGTCGGAATTAGCTAAAAAATTTGAGTCAAATGGAGGAAATCAGCTGTGGATTGCAACAAGGGATTACTTTGAAATTGATCTGCAAAAGGAACTGGAATTGGATGTAACATACAAGCTAGATGATTTTAAAGAAGCTGATGGAATCAACTTGATCGCATCAAAGTGGGTAATTAAGGATTTCGAAAACAAAAAGTTTAACAAATATGCAATAGAAAATCACAAAAACTTTCCAAAGTATCAAAAAATCGCTCAAAATTTGATAAGTAAAATTTCAATGATGAGTTCAAGACAAATTGGTTTACCTCAATTATTCAGTGTTCTTGCTGATGGTTTTGACAATGATAATGATTCTGTTCAGGAATTTTCACATTATTCAATTTTTGAGAAAGCATCTGATAATTATTTATTAAATTTTATTAACGATAAGGGAAAAGTTAGACAAGAAATATTTTGCGTAAGTCAGGATGAGAGGTTGAATCTAAAAAGACTTCATGAAGTGCTGGCAATTTTGAGTTATTATCCTGACAAAATTGCTTTCTTTGGATTGGATAACGAAAAAAAGAAATCAATTGATGATAAAATTAATGCCTATGGCCTGGTAAAGAAAAACAGTGAATATTATTACTTCCTGCATGAAACATTCCGAGAGTTTTTTGCTGCTAGATTTATTGTGATTTCATCATCTTTAAAAGCGATTGAAGAAATTCATTATGAATTATTTCTAGATTTTCTCACAATTCAAAGATTCACGATCATTAGATCCTTTTTAAATGCTGGTTTATTTGAGAAATCAGTTTTTAAACTGAATCATATTGAAGAGATTTCAAAACTATTAAAGGGATCAGAGAATATTTCATACATTTTTGAAGACTGTCATGAATATCTTGAAGATTTAATTATTTCTGTGCTAGAAAAAATCGACTACGATAAGAGGAAAAATATTTTATTTGCAAATATCAAAGAAATTTTAGAGACGGCAAAAAGTTATTCAAATTTTCAAACATTTTTCTTAAAATCCATAAAGGATGAAGATTTAAAACCTTTTGTCAAAAATGAAAGACTTTTGCATAAAGTTATTCAATCAAATTTTGAATTTGAAGTATTTGAAATTTTGGTTAACAATATTGAAGATAGATTCGGTAAAGAATTTGCAAAAATATTATTTCAACCAATTGAAGCAAGAGAGCAATGGAATGACAGTATTTTTTGCTCCTTAATCACATCTCAAGTCCCAAGTCTCGAGAAAATCAAAAAATTCTTAGCATTTTTAAAGAGATTCATAACTATTGCAGAAATAGATGAAATGCTCCATAAGATTCCAAGCTTAGGCGTTCTTAAAAATTCAAATGTTTTAAATAAGAAAGAAAAACTTGAAATTGTTCTAAGTGCAATTAAAGATTTTTTCTATTCTGAAAATGTTCCTGACAAATTTACAGAATTTGTCGTTAATACTCCAGTTTGTATTCTAGGAATAATCGAAAAATTTGAGAAAATACAACCGGATGATTTTTTTTGGGGACTTTTGTTGGAAACTTTTGAGAGTCCAGAAGGTGTCAAAAATTTTGTAATGTCAGATCTTCTAAAAGACTCTGATGACATCATAATGTTTAGGTTCGGAAGAATGATTTTAAATTCAGTTGAATTTTTCAGAAGCTTTTTTAGTGAAACGCAATTTCGTGAAATTTTAAAAATTGAAAACAGAGTCAGAACAAATATCCTCAAAATTTCAGCTCGTCATTCAGAAAGTATTGAGATATATAATTCAATTTGGGAATTTTTCAAAAATGAATTTGGTGCAGAATTTTATGAACTTATTCAAGCTGTCAATTCAATCAAAGCCGATGCTAGAAACATCTTCTGGTTCACATCATATCGCAAAGATTTTGACTCATTTAGCTTCATTATCGATAAATTTGAAAAAGATCCAATAATGTCCGAAAAAGAGATCAAAAATCTATTGTTGCAGATAGATCTTACAAAGCAGTCCTTTCTGTATAAAGCTTTTGAGTGGGCAACAGGCACACAGGAAGAAAATGAAGAATTTTTCAAAAGAATATGGGAAAAAATTCAAATATATTTCAATTCTTCAGAAATTTTGGAAATTTTACAAAATAACGATATTTATGGCCACAATATTATTTTACATGCTTGTAATTCGAACACAACTACTTGTCGAAATTCTCTGAAGACAATTTGGAATATCATTCTGAATTTTATTAAAAATGAGTTTAAAGGTGAATTAATTGATGAGGAAACGGAAGAAAATATTGCAAAATGTAAGGCATTAATTGAAACCATAACACAGTTTGAATATGAATATATTTTAAGAAAATTTAAGAAAGATAAAAATTCTGATATAAAAATTCTAGATTTAAGCTGGGTGAAAACTAAGAATATGCTAATACTAAATTCCAGTCTTGATATTTTTCAAGAGGAAGTAAAAAAGCAAAATTTATTTAAAAACGGAAGTGATTTAAAGGCTCTTGCTTTTTGTGAGAAATTGGAGATCCACAAAATTTCTTGGGAATGCTGCTTTGAAAAATTAAAAGATTTGGAGCATCTGAAAAATTTTCTCCTACAAAATAGCATTTATGGGGATAATTTCTTTCACAATCTTTTTTATTTTAATAAATCAAAAGAAATTGTAAAATTTACATTGGAAAAAATTCAAAAAAAATTCGAAAAATCCCAAATTCAAGATATTTTGAGTTCAAAAAATATCAAAAATGAAAAATTATTACTATCCAAATTTGATGTGTGGATTTGTCAAGAACTTTTGATAATGCTTGATCCAAGTTTTGAGAATAAGGAAGACATAATTGACATTTATCCTAATTTGCTCTTAAATGCTGCTGAAAGTAGTTCTGAATATTTTAAATTAATTTTCAAAAAAATTAGGCTATCGTTGATTCATTTTGATTTAGAAAACACATCTAAGCTAGAAGATTTAATTTTGCAAACGAAATCGTTTACCATAAAGGAAACTATTTTGCATAAAGCAGTTCAGTCAAGAGATAAAAATTTATTAGAAACTGTTTGGAAGTTGATTGAAAATTATTTTAAATCCAGAAATTCTCATGAAAGTTTTAAAGAACTTGTTTTTAAAAAAACATTTCATTATGAAGTTCCAAAAGATAAAATAGATTGCAATATTTTACATTTTGCTGCCAAATATGATCAAATTGATTTTCACAAAATACTTTGGAAGCTGCTGTTTAATACTTTTTACGATAATCTTGAGGAATTGAAAAATTTGATAGTTGAAAAATCAGGGCCGAATAACTTCATAAATTGTTTGCTTGTCTACAATAAAATTGAAATTATTAAGCAGTTTTTAGATGAAAATTTAGAATACTTCAAAGATTGTCAAATTAGGGCAATTTTAGCTGCAAATGAAGATCATCCTTTGCTGAAAACTGCAGCATCTTCCAAAGATATTAAGAAACTTAAGTTATTGTGGAAAACTTTTAAAAAATATTTTAAAACTCTTCCTGAAAGAATAAGTTTTCTCAAAATGATTGGTAATGGAGGATTTAACTTAGTATTAGAATCTGCAAGATGCAATGCAGAAATATTCAACTACGTCTGGGAAATTGTTGATGAATTGAATGATAATTCAGAGGAATTTAGAATTAAAATTACTGAAATTATTGAGACAATCCCGAACAATGAAAGGAATATTATTCATATTTGCATCGAAAATGAAGACAAAGAACTTCTTAGAGTGGTTTGGATAAAATTAGAATCTTTTTATAAATCCTCAAATTCTGTGGCATCATTTAGGAAGCTTATACTGTGGAGACAGCCAATTTCATTGCCGATTACAAATAATATTCTACATTACGCAAGTAAATTGTCTAATTTTGATTTTCATGAGATGATTTGGAATCTCATATTTGGATGTTTCGAAGATTTAAGTCAAGTTCAAAGTTTGATAGTCGAAGCAAATGATGTACATCATGTAAGTTATGTCAAACGTATTGTTTTTCAACAAAACATAGAACTTATAGAGAAAATCCTTAACGTATTCATTGAAAAGTTCGACAATCAGCAAATGCGGTCAATTTTTTTACATCAATGCCTAGAATACGGTATAAGTTTGTTAATTTATTCTATTCAGTTTTACAATATTGAAATTCTCAAAAAGCTGCTAGATTTTTGGAAAAATTTATCAAAAAATAACGAAGAATATTTAGAGTTGTTCAAGACAGTAAACTTTGAAGGGAACAATATTCTTCACACAGTAATATATAATTTTATGACACCATTATATTTAGAAAATGAAAATATGAAAACCCAAATCGATATTTTTGACTTTTTCGTCGAAGAAATTAAGAAAGTTTCACCAGAAGAAGTCCGAAAATTAATGAAAGCTTCAAACAATAAACATAAAAATATATTACAACATGCAGTACGACACAGTACCGAGATTGAGCTTCATGAATGTTTATGGAAAAATATCGAAAATTTTATCCAAGATCCTTCTGAAATTTCAAAACTAATTGACCCTGCAGATGGTGATTTGAGTAATGTCCTTGCAAATGTTGTTACTCACAATGATGTGAATATTGTTGAGTTCACATGGGCAAAAATTGAAAAATATTTGGGTGTGGAATGCCACCAGTATTTGAAAAGAGGTTTAAAAAACATTGAATTTACTAAGGGAAATATTTCTCAAAATAAAATTGGGTGGACAAAAGAGCTAATGAAGAAATATAAGATTGAACTATAAAAATGCAAATAATTTTATTTTATTTTAAATTTCGTTATTTTTTAAAATGCTTAAATTTATTTTTTATTTTCATTGTAAATCAAAATTTAATATAAGTAAACTAATAAATTAATTTTTGTGTTATATAATTCTATTTTGTCATAACTATAATAATATATAATAGTGGCAAAAACATAAAATTCGACGACATCAATAAATACAGAAATTGAGTTTACAATTTACTTATCAAAAGAGGCAATAAGACAGATCCATAAAAAGTGAATGCGATTTTTCAACAGGTTTGAATTTTTTTTGGAATTTTATGTACACACGAGTCTGAAAATAATAAATATATCAACGTTAGGAAACGAAATATGCCATCCATAGTCCTTGTTATAGTTGTGGACCATGGTGGATGAAACTGTTTTGGATTTCCAAATCTTACATTTAAATTGTCACTTTCAGCTTGATTTATAAAAGGAATAAATTGAGTGATGTCTGTGTTTAATGAATAAGCATAACATTGCGTCCATATTCTTCTGCTGACAATGATTCTGACACAACTCCTCGAAGGTAAAATCATTATCTAATGTGAAGTCATGAGCACCAAGGACAACGCTTACATCCTCTTCTCAAATTTTTCTGAAAGTTCTTGGGAAGATGCAGTGAACAGCTGGAAATTTTTGAGAATTAATTAGATTTTTCGCTGGCTACTCTCATGAGTTTTCGGATTTTTTAAAAGCTTTGGTTTTTTTTTTGTATTTTTGTATATCAGTCAGGCGCGTAGCCAAGAGGGTCTTGTCCGCTTAACGCTTAGGAGAGCGCTTTACAGGGCGTTTAAGCCGAGCTGCGGTTCAAAACGTTTAAAGTGGGGACAAGACCCTCTGGGCTACGCGCCTGATACCAGTGAAAACTTTTTAGTACGACATTAATCCTGGAATAAAAAAAATACAAATTTTCTTTAGAATAAATTTTTTGGATAATTTAAACAAAATTAAAGAAAAAACTCACCATTCATATGAACCAGACATCGAAAAGAGCTCGGAATTATTTATTAGCTCCGATACTATCGATTTATTTGCCCATCAAACAGTTAAAAGTCTTAAAACAGTGTTTAAATACTATAATTAATGTTTTATTTTTTTAAAATTTCAATATAGTGCAACCTGAGTAAATTTTTTTTCATCGAGTGTAACCTGCTCTAATTTTTTTGACCACCTCTATAATTTAAAATTCGCGAAAACAGTTAATATTTGAATTTCAAAAAACCGTTGATTGTAGTAATTTACTGGAATTTGGTTTTCCTTCTACGCAGTTAATCAAAATCTTAAATCAAAATTTGTTGAGTGTCACAACAAAATTATGATGAGAATATAACTTTTGATTTAAATATTTTTTAAATCAATGATCCTAAATTTTTTGATGTTTTTATCACGTTTTGTTTTCTTTCTTTGATTCTTTAAATTACAGCTGTAGATTACAGATGAACTTACGTTGTTACGTAAAAATCAAATTACAGCTATAATTTACAGTAAGAAATTGTACCTTGTTTTCTATTCAATCATTTTGCAAAAGGAAAAATCATAGTCAAAACCAGCGGAATTCACGAAAAATTACATCAACTGTAAGTACAGCTAAGCACTTGTCTAAGCTATAAACCCATCTGTATTTACAGCTGTATGTTATTTATACACATTGAACTACAGCTGTAATCTACAGCTGTAATTTGATGCTAAATAGTAAAGGGTTTATTTTTTGCAATTTTTTTCCATCACCGTGTCTAGATAAAATTGTATGGAAAAGAAAGTGGTTTTTATTATTATTACACGCTTTTTATTACACGCTTTTTATTGAGTTGCTCTGTTGGTTTCTTTGTATGTCACGTTCAAATCTTCGAATCGATTTTTCTACCACTTCTATTGCTCCAATCGAGCTCAAATTTTGTACACACACGTATTCCCGGTAACAATACAATATTTTAACATTTTGGAACTACAAAAATGCTTAATTATAGAACAATTTAAGTAAATCTTTTTTATATGGGAAAAAAATCCAATGTCAATGATATAAAATTTTGATTTGTTTAAAATATTATACTTGAAATGCTCAAAAGTCATTTATATGATTCATTATAGTTTAATTCATATTACTAAATATTAATTATACTATAAATTTGAGCATCTAAAGATATTCTGGTAAGACAAAAAAATTGACATTTAATTTTTTCATGAATATTCGCAAGTGAAAATTTGAATTTTCAAAAAAACCGTTAAGCGCAAGTCCGTTACGAATTAATGCAAAATAACTATTAATATGCGATGTGTATTTAGCACACAAAGTTTGAGCATAAATTTATGTTGTTTTTTATGTATTACATTATTTATAAAACTTCACCAACTTAATTAAATTTACTTTGCTATTTATTAAAGGCTTGAAGCAGAGGTCGAAGCCGACATGAATTCGCTCCGGTTCGCTAAAAAACCGATTCAAATTTGAATAGATTTTTTTCTGCTGCCACTTGTGAAGTACAACATTTTATACAAATTTACGCTTGAACGGCTTGAAGTATATATTTGCATAACAAACAAATGACATTCATTGAATTAAATTCGAAAAATCCGTTATAAATACGTTACATATAGATGTGAGTTGCATCTTTATGTTAATAATCCACACGTTATGTAGGAGGAATCGTACAGATAAACACAAAATCTCCAAGATTCATTTTTAATGTACTTTACTAATGAATGCTTTAAAAAAAAAAGAAAGCGCACATAATTGAAGTTCAGGATATTTTTTAAGAAGTTTCATCTGTTTCCAGGTATGACTTAAATTCTATAAAACAAATGAATGAACAAATGAAATCTATAAACAGTTGAACGAAACGGAGTAAAACGAAGTGGAGTTGAATTTGAATTGTTGTGGTCGAAATTCGATTAAAAGATTGAGACTAAAAAGTAGCAAATAAAAAAAAAACTTTTTAAAAAACACGCTTTTTTCCCGAAGACTAAAAAACAAATAACATTTTTTTCTTGAAGTTAAGCGACCAAAAAAGGAGCAAATAAAAAAATGTTAAAAAAAACTTTTTAAAAAACACGCTTTTATCAAAAAGACTAAAAATCAAAAAGTTCAAAATAAAATAAGGTCACACTTTTAGCGAATCAGGATTTTAAAAGTTTTCTTGTGACATCTAGAAATGTAACATAATTTTTTTTCAAAATATTGTGATTAAGTCCAAGAACGCAATGACTCTAAAAGCGTGGGGCTTTGAGATTTGACGCTTCTCTTACTTAAGAACTTAGTTGAACTAAGAAATTCATCCTTAAATTACGCCCCACGCTTATAGAGTCATTGTGTTCTTGGACTTAATCACAATAATTTGAAAAAAATTTATGTTACATTTCTAGATATCACAAGAAAACTTTTAAAATCCTGATTCGCTAAAAGTGTGACCTTATTTTATTTTGAACTTTTTGATTTTTAGTCTTTTTGATAAAAGCGTGTTTTTTAAAAATTTTTTTTTCAAAGTTTCTTTTTATAAAGTATTTATTCATTTTTACAAAAGATTTTTTCATCGCAACACTTTCAAGTCTTTTCGAGTGACACACAATATGAAACAGTATGATATTGTATGATGTGTACGAAAAGGTGCTCACAGTCATAAAGATTGATGATATTGCCAACATTATACATTTTTCATATGCTGAATACAGAAGTGTTGCAAGTATTTTACTTGTGTAAGACACACACATTTTTAAAAAGAACGGATAAAAGACGAAAGTGATGCTTTGTGTACGAAACCGAGCGAGAAGATGTAAAGAAAACGAAATAAAAGTTTGTTTGTGTTGGTGTAAGGAAGCTTATGATTGGTTGATTTCTCTCACCAATACATATAGAGTCGTGTATTTTCATACGAATTTTTTTTTTCTGTCAAACTTCTATGTAAATACATGCAACATCGTTGACTCGTAATATAGGTTGGTAAAAGTGAGTGTTTTTTCGGTCACCGAAAGAGTGTGCGTTTGTATAGAATGAGAGAAAAAATTGAAAAAAATACTGCATATTGAAAGTAAACGTACGCGGTTTTTAGTCTTATGGAAACAACAGAGAGTTTGTATGCCAGCTGTGGTGAGAGTGTGTGAAAAAAATTTTTTTTTGTTTGCACACTTTTAAAATATGGGTCGAAAGATGAAGAAAGTCGTGTCAATGCCAACGGTTGGTTGGTGTGTCATTGATGAGTATCAGTAATAGTTAATGTTTAAATTTTTTGATATAGAGAAGTGTAATGCACTGAATGTATATGTGGAATAGTATTTAGGTATGAGGTGTATTAGGTTGATGGTTGTGACACACACAATGCATAAGACTATGTACATTTGTAATTTTATTGCAAGTTGTATATATGATGATATGTAGAAGAAAAAAAAAAAATGTGAGAGAATTCTGGTTGATCCTACCAGTAATGTACGCTCGTCTCAAAGGTTAAGCCATGCATGTCTAAGTACATACTAAAATAAAGTGAAACCGCAAAAGGCTCAGTATAACAGCTGTAATTTCTTAGATCATATTCCCAGTACTTGGATAACTGTGGAAAATCTAGAGCTAATACATGCAAATAATGCGAGTATCGCAAGATTCTCGTGCAGTTATTAGACAAACCAATCGGTCTTCGGACTGTTTTATATGGTGGAACTCTAGATAACTTTGCTGATCGTATGGCCTTGTGCTGACGACAGATCTTTCAAATGTCTGCCCTATCAACTTTGATGTTAGTATAGAGGACTAACATGGTTGCAACGGGTAACGGGGAATCAGGGTTCGATTCCGGAGAGGGAGCCTGAGAAACGGCTACCACATCTAAGGAAGGCAGCAGGCGCGTAAATTACCCACTCCCGGCACGGGGAGGTAGTGACGAAAAATAACAATATAGAACTAGTTAACTATGTTCTGTAATTGGAATGAATCAAGTTTAAATCCTTTAATGAGGATCAAGTGGAGGGCAAGTCTGGTGCCAGCAGCCGCGGTAATT